ACTCTTTTCTGACTGTTCATGTTTATTGCCTTATTTACATGGATTTTTTTTTTAACACAAAAGAGTTTTTATTAGTATTGAAATAGACTTAAAGAGTAACTCCACTTTTGTTGACAAAACAGTATACCCCTCTGGGTGATCTATGTACATTGCAGGGATTTTAACAAACTTTGTTGCAGATTCCTACCTTTTGTTATTCTGAAGAAAGAGCTGTTTGTCTGTGTAGAAACTGAATCTAATGGGAGTGGTTTTTCATAATTATCAATAAGCTGCTGCACTTACAGGACTCTGTCAAGGAAAACTGCAGGGTCTGCATCCTTTCATGCAGACCCTGCATCCTTTCATGCACACATCATTTTCTATTGGGAATATCTTACCAAAAATGACATTTTTGTTGCAGGGGATGACTGAAATCTGACTTATCTTAGTGCAGACTTCTGGTTGAATCAGTGAGCTAATTATACAAGCAGAAAATGATGTTTCTGGAGGGTGTTCTGTATACCATCTGTGTACAGAACAACTCTGGGTTGCCATATTGAATTGCATTTTACAGAAAATGACAGAGCTGCAAATTAAAAAGGAAAGGTAATTTTTAATAACATTCAATTACAATATGACTTGTATCGCGGTTGTATATGCTATATTTTTTTTTCCCCGTTAAAGTAGAGTTACCCTTTAAAATAAGTAAGATCAGTGCTGACAAAGACATGCACCTATGATGTGCGTATTAATTCAAAGAAATAGATAAGACAAGGTCTTTGCAATAAGACATATACAGAAGGATTGTATTATATTGACAATTGTCAAGTTTTCAGATTGCTGAAGACAAATGGAATGAGAGGCATAATCACAGACTGTTCACAGGAATAAGTGCAATATAATATCGCAAAGCCCATATAATTGCTTGAGAAGCTATGAAAACCCAAACCAAAAATGTTGGGTGCCATCTCAAATAGAGGGATATTTGGAATGTAGTAGTACCCTGAGACATCACAGATCACAAATGAGTACTAGTACAGTGGGGATCGAAAGTTTGGGCACCCCAGCTAAAAATTTGTATTAATGTGCATAAAGAAGCCAAGGAAAGATGGAAAAATCTCCAAAAGGCATCAAATTACAGATTAGACATTCTTATAATGTGTCAACAAAAGTTAGATTTTATTTCCATCATTTACACTTTCAAAATAACAGAAAACAAAAAAATGGCGTCTGCAAAAGTTTGGGCACCCTGCAGAGTTAATATCTTGTACTGCCCACTTTGGCAAGTATCACAGCTTGTAAACGCTTTTTGTAGCCAGCCAAGAGTCTTTCAATTCTTGTTTGAGGTATCTTTGCCCATTCTTCCTTACAAAAGTCTTCCAGTTCTTTGAGATTTCTGGGCTGTCTGTCACGCACTGCTCTTTTAAGGTCTATCCATAGATTTTCAATTATGTTGAGGTCAGGAGATTGTGAAGGCCATGGCAAAACCTTCAGTTTACGCCTCTTGATGTAATCCCCCGTGGATTTCGAGGTGTGTTTACGATCATTATCCATTTGTAGAAGCCATCCTCTCTTTAACTTCAGCTTTTTCACAAATGGCATCAAATTACCATCCAAAATTTGCTGAAATTTTATTGAATCCATTTTTCCTTCTACTCGTGAGATGTTCCCTGTGCCACTGGCTGCAACACAACCCCAAAGCATGATTGATCCAACCCCATGCTTAACCGTTGGACAGAGGTTCTTTTCATTAAATTCTGTGCCCATTCTTCTCCAAACGTACCTTTGCTCATTCCAGCCAAAAAGTTCAATTTTAACCTCATTGGTCCACAGAACTTGTTTCCAAAATGCATCAGGCTTGTCTATATGTTCATTTGCAAAGTTCAAACGATGATTTTTGTGGTGAGGACATAGAAGACGTTTTGTTCTGATGACTCTTCCATGAAGACCATATTTGTACAAGTATCTCTTTATAGTGGAATAGTGTACCACAACTCCAGTGTCTGCCAGATCTTTCTGGAGGGATCATGCAGTCAAACGTGGGTTTTGAATTGTTTTTCTCACAATCCTGCGAGCTGTCCTGTCTGATATTTTTCTTGGTCTTCCAGATGTTGCTTTAACTTCCACTGTTCCTGATGACTGCCATTTCTTAATTACATTCCGAACAGAGGATATTGACATCTGAAAACGCTTTGCTATCTTCTTATAGCCTTCTCCAGCTTTGTGAGCGTCAACTATTTTCAGTTTCAGTTTTCTAGACAACTGCTTAGAAGAACCCATGGTGCTGATTGTTGGGGCAAGGTCAGATGAGTCTGGGCATTTAAAACCTTTGAGATTGACATCACCTGGTGTTCCCAGACAATGATTGAGAACAATCCATGACACTGGCAGGTCTCAGCTTTGCAAAGGGGGCAGTGCATGCTATAAATTCTGCAGGGTGCCCAAACTTTTGCAGACGCCATTTTTTTGTTTTCTGTTATTTTGAAAGTGTAAATGATGGAAATAAAATCTAACTTTTGTTGACATATTATAAGAATGTCTAATCTGTAATTTGATGCCTTTTGGAGATTTTTCCATCTTTCCTTGGCTTCTTTATGCACATTAATACAAATTAATACAAAATGGGTACAACAAGATATAAATGAATGGGTGAGCTTATCAGTAGGTTTCAGGGAGACTAATCGGTGACTGGTTAGAACCTCTTTCCAGGTCTCATCATCAGTAGGACCCAGTTGGCCTCCCACATAATCGTTCTCTTACAAGCCTGGGCTCATGCCATAGGGTTAAAGAACGCTGAGTAGAATTCCAAAATCATTTGCTCTAAAAAGAAGTGACAGTCAAATGATTCTATGCAAGCACAGATAATATGGCCCCAAAATCCCTGGAGACTGCATGTCTAACCTGAACAGAAACAGAAAAATATGGAATTCGGCAAAATAAATTCCTATTTTAGATCCAAAAAGGGTTTAAAGTGATTGTAAACCCTCACCTTGTAAAGAAAAAAAAACCTATTCAGTTTAAAATAGAAATGAAAGGTAAAATGTGTGTTTAGATATAGAAAAATATTATAAATACCTTTCCCTTTTTCCTCTTGTTCTCAGCTGCATAAGAGCTGGGGGAGGAGAAACATCAGGCACATATCTTCCCAGTGATTGGCTGTGCAAAGGGCATGTCAGGACAAATCTGATCATTGGAGGTGAGCAGGTTGAGTTCCCAGCACAGCTAGCGAACTGACCATGCTGTGCTTTCCTGCATAGTGTGGTCAGTTTTTAATAGGAAAGCAGAAGGACTGGCTGGAACACCAGAGATTTCACACAAAGGAAGTAATACAAATAAAACAGGATACTTTCTTATACAAGTACATGGTACAGCAGGCATATATCAGGAATATGAAATGTTGGGTTCACATTTTTTTTTTATTGCCCACCAGTTAGGATTTGAGCTAAACCAGTGATACCATGTCTATATTAGATTCAGCCTGGATTTTAGTGCCAGCTGCAGCAAGGGTCCTGCGTATTCCTGCAGCTGCATTCCCAGGTGGATGCAGATAGTTGTAGCTGCTCGGCCTGTACAAAATAATGACAGGCTGACAGTGGCCACAGATGTCTACATGTAAATACACATGAAGCAATTACTTGGGATTAGGGACAGATGGTAGCCCCTGGATACAAACAGTGTGCTTCCGTGGAGATCATTTGTGCCCAGGGGCGGACTGACAACTCATGGGGCCCCCAGGCAATATGGGATCATGGGGCCCATGTGTCCTTGCCCAAACTCAAAAAAGACTATGAAAAAGGTACCAGGGGCATCTCATGGGGCCCCCTACTGACCCCCAGCCCTCGGGCGGTGCCCGAGTTTCCAAATGGTCAGTCCGCCCCTGTTTGTGCCCAACCACAGGTATTTGCTCCATGTGTAATTACACTTAAATGCTACTGCCTCTGTCAGTCTGTTATTCTTTTGTAGGATAGAGCTGAGCTGCCACAACTATCCACATCCATGTGTAAATACAGCCAGGACTTTATAGGATTCTTGCCGCAGCTGACCATAAATCTGACCTATCACTCTTCTAGCTCATAATCACTTTACATGTGATTCCGTATAGTCTACAACTCATGATACATTAGTGTGATAGTCAGAGGTAAGAATGCTCCTTACACTTGTGGTCATTAGGAAGAATTACCTTCTTACAGATTGCTAAAAAGATCAATGGTGTCAGTGGGACCTTACCTGAGAGGCAAAAATTGCACATTGCTCAAGGAACCCCTGGCAACCTCTGCAGGAACCCTAGGGTTGAGAAACCCTGCCCTAGACTGTTTACTGAGCTAGAGGAGTGGATAAAGCTGTCTGCCTGACTGCGGCTACACTAGTCGGAAAAGAACCTGGGACAAAATCAGTGGGAGTTAGCGCTACAGGTTTCGGACTTTCCTAGTAGCAGTCAATGCGCATGTGCGGGAAAACCCTGCATGTGCTGGGATGACCAGGAAACCCAACACATGTGTATATGTGCCGCAGGGCTCTCTCCGTACCCAAGCTCTGTGGCACATCTGCGCATGCTCAGGGGGCATAGAGAGAGATTCTCCATTAGGTGAGAGTTGCACAAGTGCTGCATGGCAGCACAAATAAAACAGTAAGAAAAATAAAAATTCCATATGTACGAGAGGAAGAGGGGAAGAGGCAGGGCAGGACAACATGCCCTCTTGGGAGAAGGTCCACTTTAAGCCAGTCTTGTGATTTACACCAGTATTTCTCAACCTTTTTTCAGTCAAGGCACCCTTTATAATTATGGACAGTCCTGAGGCATCCTTTATAATTATGGACAGTCCTGAGGCATCCTTTATAATTATGGACAGTCCTGAGGCACCCTTTATAATTATGGACAGTCTTCAGGCACCCTTTATAATTATGGACAGTCCTGAGGCACCCTTTATAATTATGGACAGTCCTGAGGCACCCTTTATAATTATGGACAGTTTTGAGGCACCCTTTATAATTATGGACAGTCCTGAGACAACTTTTATAATTATGGACAGTCCTGAGGCACCCTTTATAATTATGGACAGTCTTCAGGCACCCTTTATAATTATGGACAGTCTTCAGGCACCCTTTATAATTATGGACAGTCTTCAGGCACCCTTTATAATTATGGACAGTCTTGAGGCACCCTTTTTAATTATGGACAGTCTTGAGGCACCCTTTTTAATTATGGACAGTCTTGAGGCACCCTTTATAATTATGGAGAGTCTTGAGGCACCCCATTCTAAAATGTGAAAAACTATTCTAATAGCAACATCCACAGATGTAGGACACCCAACATTAGAGGTGATTTATTCTTCCAAAGGAAATACACTTTTGCACACTGGTACTGACTAGTATTCCAATGTTTCTCTTCTCCCTCAGCTTTTATCCATCACTGAGCTAATGTGACCCCAGCACTGATGGAGAAGGGCAGGGGAGGGTCAAACCAGGATGCTGTGCAGGCAGCTGACATCCTCCTTATCAACTGATGGTGTCATTGGTTGTCAGGATGCCGGCGGCTAGAAGTTCGTAATGGTGCAAAATGAAAACCTGTGGCTTTGTGTAACTTAAAGGCTGGCTTGTATACACATTTTGGGCAAATTTTAGACATTTTGCCAAGGCACCCCTGTATGTAGAAACCTCAAGGCACCCCAAGGTGCCTGGGCACCCTGGTTGAGAAAGGCTGATTTACACACATCTGCCATACTGCACATGCAGGAAAGTCACCGATTGCCTACTGATTCAGTTCTGTGGCTCAGAATCATTTTTACTTCAAGTATACATATGTATAACCAAAACTATTTTTTTAGTTCTGGAAAGAATAAAGGTTAAAACTCAAGTCAATACACTTTTTCTGCCTGTGTCCTGCTGGGTATATTTTACTTCATGTTCTGCATTCGAGATGAAATGGGAAGCTGAAAAAATGTAGAAAGTTAGGTGAATTCCCAGATTTCTGTTAGCAGAACGTTTGTCCTCGCTGTGCCGATACTAAGCATTTGCACAAGCACCCTTACTCGTACAAATGGCCTGAAACTGATATGTTTGCAGAGAAATCTGAGCCCATGCAAAATGAATGGCTCAGATTGCAGTGCAAAGAATCGCATGTGATTTGAACAGGAATGCTGCGTGATTCATGTCTGAACCACATGCAGTTTCCCTGTGGGTGTGGTGCGCTTTGCAGTGCAATTTGAGCTGTTCATTTTGTATGGCTCAAATCGCACCGCACCTGCAGGGAAATTGCGTGAGATTGGGACAGGTATCGTACCACATTCCTGTGCAAATCACATGCAATTTTTTGCAGTGCGATTTGAAACAATAATATTGTATGGGCTCAAATTGCACCACAAAGGTATTGGTAGTCAGCAAGTACTTGAGCACAAGTATCGGTACTCACCGATTTAAAAAAAACGTATTGGCGCAACCCTGGCTTATATGCATTGTTTATTGCTGGTTTTGCTGATTCATGAGTTAATCCCAGGCTAGTGGTATGGAACTCTATTTTAAAGTGTTACTAACCCCACAACAGCAAAATCAGTCTGTATATGCAGTAGAGCATGCTTGTTATACTCATTGTGGAACCTAAGGGGTTAATCCTCCATAAAAATGCTGTTTGATTCTGACTTCTCTGATCCTCCCATTCTTCCAGTGTCCCCCTCTTGCCTCCTGATAAGACATATCGTGTGGAGACACTCTGCACATGGTCATTTTGGTGTGTATTGCTAGAGAGGTTTTTTTTTTCTTGGGAGAGTGCATGTGATCAGCACAGGGCCAATCAGCACTGTCCAGACAGAGGTCAGGGGTTCTGCATCCTCCTAGAGCAGAAAGAAAACTCCTCCTACAGGCTTTAACCAGTTGAACACTGATAGAAGTAACAAGACTGCTCTAACTGCTGATGAGAAAAGGTATTTAGCAGTTTATATTTACTAAAATAATTGTACTTCCATGTTGTGTGTACTGTGGGAGACCAGATATAGTGAATGCAGGGTCCTGGGTTTTAAGTTACCTGGGCTCCTCTTGAGAAGAGGAGATTAAGGGGGGACATAATCAACATGTATAAAAATACATCGGCGGTTCATATAGTGAACTCCATGTAGAGCTATTCACCCTGAGGTCATCACAGAGGACAAGGGGGCACGCTTTACATCTGGAGGAAAAGAAATTTAATCTCCAAACACGGAAAGGTTTCTTCACAGTAAGAGCTGTAAAAATGTGGAATAGACTCCCTTAGGAGTTGGTTCTGTCCGCTCAGTAGATTGCTTTAAAAAAGGCCTGGATTCTTAGATACACAGACTATAACTGGATACTTACATTTATAGGTAAAGTTGATCCAGGGAACATCCGATTGCCTCTCGGGGGATCAAGAAGGAATTTTTTTTCCTGTAAGAGAAAATTGGATCGTGATTTGCTGGGTTTATTTGCCTTCCTCTGAATCAACTGCGGATATAGGATTATCACTTTTTTTTTTTTTAATGGTTGAACTGGATGGACTTTTGTCTTTTTTTCCAGCCAGACTAACTGTACTGTAGTGATTATACTGTCTAGTGGACTGTGTCTGAACCTATTTGTCTATTTCTGTGTTCTTTATATATGCTCAAACCACTATTTATTCTAACCCGTACCAATACAAGGCATATAGACTGTGCACTTTGCAATTGCAGTTGCACTAATTTTCCTTAAGGTAAATACAGAAAAGCTTCACTTTGTAAAGACTACCCAATCAGGTGCAAGGAAAATAAAAAACAGCATTTTTGCCTGCACATCATTGGATGATGGAAGTCAGCAGAGCTTTACCACATTTACTAAGCTCTGGGAAAATAGAGTACAACTGCACCTGGAAGGTGCACAGTCTATATGCCTTTAGTAAATCCACCCCATTGAGTTTATTTACCACTAAACGGTCTTGTGTCTAACTCCTGAAGATAATTTGAAGCTGAGTTAAGGGTCCATTCACACTCATGTGACTTCAAAATCCTGCGATTTTCATTGCGACTTTACAGTGCGACTTGACGCACATTTGATGCGACTTTGGATGAGTGCGACTTTGGCTTTGACCAAAGCATAATTGTTTCTGATGTACAAAGTTGCACACAAGTCGCAATCAAATGGCATGTACAATATTCAGGTACGACTTTCATGCAACTTTGGAGTGTTTACATTGAAGTCCATGTCCCTCAAGTCGCATGAAAGTTGGACCAAATAGTGCAGGAAATACTTTAAAGTCGCTGTGACTTGAAGTTGCACATATATGAATGGTACCCATTGGGAAATGGGGGGGGGGGGGGGCACTTGTCATGCGACTGTGGACCCTAAAGTCGCATGACAAGTTGTATAAGTATGAATGGGCTCTAAAGGTACCTACGCTCGTGTTTCTATAACTGCTTGCCGTAACTTTCACTCAATCAGGTGTGTCAGCGGGGTGGGGTTGTTTTTGGAGTCGAAGCACAGAACAGAGAAATCAAATTACCAAGCGGCTCCTGCTGGGGTAGCACTACATTTGAGATTTAGGTTTAGTGAATAGGAAGTTAAACCAAAACACTGGATCTCTGGCAGGATCAATAGATACTTTTCTGTACTTGCAGAAAATGTGGATCGTTGAAGTTTGGATAAAGCAACATGCCACATAATGTATTGTTTTTTGTTAGCAATAACCGCTTTCCCCGCCGCCCTGTAGTAGAAATACTGCACACAATCACGTGTATATATATATATATATGTGATTTTGCATTTCCAGGCCGGGTAGGCCATTGGTGGCCTCAGCTGTCGATCACCAGGTCCCGGCCGGTGATTCCCCGCTGGCACCCGGCGATTGCTAAGTATCACTGACGGGGGAGAGGTCTGTATGTAAACAATACAGATCTCTCCCCTGTCAGCTCCAGCACACTGCTTTGTATTATTCTGCATAGCAAAGCAATACAAAGCACTGTGTTGACAAAGTGAAACACAGACACAGCCCACAGTAAAACAGCACAGAGTTAACCCTTTGATTGCCCCAGATGTTAACCCCTTCCTGCCCAGTGTCATAACAGTGTCAGTGCTTTTTATTAGCAGTGGTCACTGTATTGGTGTCACTGGAGATGTCAATGACACCAAGTCAGTTCCCCCCAGTGTCAGAATGCCCGCCGCAGTCCCGCTATAAGTCGCTAATCTCCGCCATTACTGGTATAAAAAAAATTACAAATTCCAGTATAGATACCACCATTTATAGACACTATAACTTTCACGTAAACCAATAAATTTACATGTATTGGGATTTTTTTTTAGCAAAGACATGTAGTAGAATACATTTTGGCCTAAATTTATGATGAAATTTGTGTTTTTTTTTACTGGACATGTTTAATAGCAAAGACAAAAATATTGTTTTTTTATCAAAATTGTCAGTCTTTTTTTGTTTATAGCGCAAACAATAAAAAACGCACAGGCGATCAAACACCACTGAAAGAAAGCTCCATTTGTGGGAAAAATGGACATACATTTCATTTGGGTGCAGCGTTGCATGACCGCGCAATTGTCAGTTAAAGTAACGCAGCTCCATATCGCAAAAAATGGCCTGGTCAGGAAGGGGGGTAAATCCTCTGGAGGGCAAGTGGTTAAAAAAAAGTTAAAGAAAAAAAAAAGTAAACAATGTGATATGTTATTGAAACACTGGTATACAAGTCCCCCCCCCCCCCCCCCCCCCAGCATGCTCTTGTTATAAGTAGCATATTCTTGCTGGTGTGAACAGGCCCTTAATGTGATTTTTTTTTTTTTTGCTCATTGTTTTGGCATTGAATATTACAGTGTACAGTAGTGAATGCAAGTATCTGGTGCACATAATGTTGTCCTCTGACAGGTGTTTGCTCTATAACCTGTTTATCCTTCCCAATCTGACCTTGAGCTGCTGCCAGCTGTTTCCTGCTTATCAGTAAAGGCCATTTTGTGACCGAGTGCAAATCCTCCTTCCCATTCAGTGCAAATCCTCCTTCCCATTCCTACTTCTCCCTAATAAACGTTCATCCATGTGCTAGTTGCATGATAGCTGATAGCAGCGTTCCACATGCACCTAAATGATAAATTCCCTCTGTTTGCACTTCTCCACCCTCTTCGAAATTTCATTTATTCATTTATTTGCGTTTTCTGCTATTCATACTAATTGTAGCAGAGCTTTGTTTTTCTACTTTATTAATTACTCAGCTGATTATGACTACTAATGCACATAAAAAATTAAAGAGCAATTCCTGGCAACAAATGGAATTGGTCATCGACTTGACATGCTGTCCAGGAAACATCCTCTATGTACTAGTACGCAGAAGAATAGGATTTATCTGAGATGTGCCATTTTTTAAAAGGAAATCCATTGAGCAGGATATGCTGCTGCAACCAAGGCATTTATTGGATCATGCTTTGCTGGGGTTTTGCTGGATCAACTGTAGGTAAAAGGATTATAACTTTTTTTTTTCTATGAAAAAACTTGAACTGGATGGACTTTTGTCTTTTTTTCAGCCAGACTATCTAT